GCAGCATGAGCCCAGCACTGCATCTGGGTTCTGGGAGGCAACACCAGTTAATGGAAATCTGCATCCYTTGCTCACACAGGAGATCTGCTTCTCCATCATCAGGTAGAGGCACTTGGCTCACTGGATTCGAGGTGTTGCATCTTTTAAAGAGTATCTGCTGCCAGGAGGATTTGTTGTTGTGACAGAGCTTGGGTCACACACTGTTCCAAGGGTGTCTCCACCTCATGTGGGACATGGACTGTTGCAGGATGTCCCAGGGGAAGGGGGTGGCTTTTCTCCAATGTTGCTGCTGCTGCTGCCACAGATTTATGYCAGGCTGGTGCTCCTGCAGCAAGTGGATCTAGATAAACTGAGTTATGTGGGACCAGTCTCTGCTGGGGTCCCCTTTCTGTGTCATCACACCAGTGGCTAYTCCTCTATGCCCATGCACACACACAGACACAMACATATGTGTGTATATAACCTTYTTTTGTCAMTAGAAAAAGGCTTTTTCTTTCCTTTTCACTGAAGGGGCAATACAAAGCATTAGGCAAMGGAACCAGTTTCYTACTCAGACAGRACCTTTTGCCCATTGTTCTCCTGGAAGAAAATGGATGTTTTTCCCAAGTTAATAGAAATAATATTAGTGTTAGGAGGTTTCCTGCTTCTTTGTGCATGCCACTAGTCCCAGCCGTGGTGATGCCCTCCCTTCATGAATAGAACAGAACATAGCAAAACTTCAAGAACAACTATAACAGTTCTCCTTATTCTGGGGTAAGTCTTCAAATATGTTAATATGTTTACCATCCCTTCACCTAATATAAATGTACATGCAAAAAAAATGTGCTTTTAAAAATATTCTCTTAGGAATATACATTATAAGCAAGTGCACRTCCACAGGGAATCTCATATACATACAAAAATAAAGTGGTGTTGRGCTGACATACACCTGGAGAACATGTTCCATGGTATTTCTAGTTTACACCCCAACAATCCATTCAAATAGTTACCACTAAATCTGAATTCACAAAAAATTATAAGTTTTCCAGGAAAATGGACACAAGCAGCACACATTTGGAACCTGAGGTGCCTCTGTATTGCAGATGTTCCTGAAACCCCCTTTTAGAGGAGGCT